ATATTTATACATATATATCAGTTTATACCTATTATGAGTCCATAAAGCTACTTATTTGCCATCTGCCAGTCTAGTTGCCTTTCATATTGCAAATTCTAGAAGGGATTTTTGTATGTTTTTCTTTTTTAATCATTTCTAACTTCAATTTGTAATATATTTTCGTAATGTAATAAAATATTAAGTTATTTGCCTTTTTGCAATGAAATACGTATTATTAATATTTTGGATGCACTACGGTCTATGAATATATCTTGTGTGTGTGTGTGTGTCTCTGTGTGTGTGTGTGTGTTATTATTTACTTTTCTTGTTACTCTTTGCTTGTCTGGCGAAGCGGCTGTCGTTCAGTTGAGCACAAAAATGAAAGAGACGGAAGAAGGTGAGAAACTGTGCATTGGGTACAGGGTATTCGCTAGGCGAGCACTCGCTTGTCGCACTTTTGTTGTCTGTTGGCCGTTACTGAGGACGGATTAACTACAAAAAATGCAAATGTTATGTTACTTAAGGTAATTAAAAAAGTACATTATCTGATTTGTTTAACTAATTGTTACTCTCCATCGATTACATAAGGTATTGCATATATGTATATATTCCTCTTCATGAATTTCTATTTTTGGTTTTTATTTTTATTTTTTTGTTGTTTTTGTTTTTGTTCTGTTGATTAGGCACGATCTCTCAAGCACCAGTTAGCATTAAGGATAGCGAATCAGGCAGCTCAACCGTAATTCAACTGAGGATTGAGGAAACCGGCCTGACTTAACTACATACATATGTATATACATAGGCTATATATATATGTACATATATATATATGTAGATGCTATAACAATTCTGATTTCGTTTGCATTAATTGTTCATGTATGCCAGATATATCTCTATATATATGTATATATGYATGTATGTATATACTTGTTGTTATCTGTTAAGTTGTTAAGGCAAACGCAAACGCATTTTAATTGTGAATACAAAGTGTCGAACGGTTTTAGCCACCTTCTCTCATTGTGTTCTCTACATAATATAAATGTTGTTAATCTTTAAATATTTCAATAATTCTTAACTCTTATTCAGCTAAGCAAAATGTATATGTCTGTATATATAATATATAGCGTAGGAGTCAGTATTGAATTTGTGCAGACATTGTTCCATCAAACAAACCAATTTTCGGTGTTTTT